AGTAATATGTAACCCTTGATTCACAGTATAAACCTTTTCTCACAAACTTTTATGGAATTCTCAAAAGTAAATGCTTTTATAATTTTTTTATATACAGGTTTTTTCGAACAGTAGTGAACTACAACAACAAACATTTTGTTTTTTATATTATTTTAATTAATTGAATTTTCAATTTGATTAATTGAATTCGAGTATTGCCAAATACCCATCAACAGTGGTCTTGGAAATAACTCTTGTATTTAATTATTCGTAAACAATTATTTTTGAGACTGCAAGTACCAGGATTCGTACTCGGATCCTGCCAAATGTAAAGCTCAGAATCAGCGCACCTTAACCAACTGATCCAAAGCCGTACTTGACCGTTTTGTTCGCATATTTTTTCTGGAGTTTTGCTACTTTTGCTGCTCTAATATAAACATTTTACTTGCTGTGTTTATATTAGAACGAAATCATAAACTAGCTGTAGATTAATTGAATTAATTAATTAATTATATTTTTTTTTTTTAATTGTTAAATTTCAATACTATTCTTTTCTATACTATAATTTCTTTATAAAATTTATATAGATAATATATCAATTCTAATTTTATTAATTACAATGAATTATTTATAGCTTGATATATCCATTTTACTACAAAGTAAGATTACATACACAACATAAAAATACAAACAGAATTTTATAATCATAATACATTAAACACTTCAAGCGTCAATATCGTGACATAAATTTTTATTTCTACAATTAAGCAAAGAAAATGAGAATTATATTAAATCCGATTTATCGGAATTTTGTTTTGATTTTGAAAATTTAAATATTATAAAAATTCTAATTAATTTAAATGTTTTCAAAAATAGTTCTGAATAAATACTTCTAATCATTATTCGTTTTGCGTTAATTATCGGTATAAGACATTTGAAAAATAATATCTGAAAGACTTTTGAGAAAATGGGAAAAAGATTTTCTGGACGACATGATTTAATATCTTCACCTGGTTTTAGTAATATCTTTATTTTGGCAACTTTTCATTAAGATAGGATGAAACTTTTTGTCAAGAATACGTTTAAGAAATTTTTATCTGCAAATGTTTTAAGGATTTCAGCCACATAAAGGTCGTAACCAGGTGCATTTCAGTTTTTCAGAAAATTAATTTTCAAATTAAATTGTAGTAATTATTTTTCGATTGTTTAATTTCTTGATTGTTAATTCTATTGGATAGATTGCTTACAAGAAATGTAAAATAATAAAATCTATGACTGGATCGTTTCCCATATTATGTGAAATAAAATGCTCTTCAGATGACATGCAAATAGCTAAGCTTTTTCATGCGGGGATTTCTAGTTTGAGATTTGATAATCTATTATGTTTTTAATTTTTTTTGCCTGTCATTTAAGAACCATCTATAGATCTTTAATAATAATGATGAATCTGGTACAAGGTCATAGTCTTCTAGCCACGCATTTCTCCTTTAATTTTTTTGTGAAACACTCACAATAAGTTGCAAGATCTAGTGAATAGATCTAGTTAAGCATTTACTAGCTTCGATTATTACTTCCTCGGTTTTTAAAAGCGTTTTAATGTTTAGAGACGATCACTAACATATATGGTTTTAAATAAAGTTCAGCATTTTTGAGTGTTGTTTCTAAGCTTTTTATCTAACGTGATAACTTCTGGCGATAGTTCCTGTTGAGACCCCTTCAGTAGACTAGAAATATCTTTTATTTATCTTTCTTTTCTTTTCATTAATTGATTTTATTTTTTCTCAACATCCGTTGGCGAATGACTATTTTTATACTGGTTTATCACGAAAGTTTTGTTTGTAATTTTAGCAATCATTTCAAATCATATATCATAAGCGCAATCTATTTATTATAAGTATATATCCTATGTGTAAAGATTATATTTTGTAAAAGTATTTAAAAAATTGTGGACATATGATGAAACGAAATATCAAATTACAATTATAAGGAGTGTGAATCAATAGCCTTTTTGATTTCAGATATCAGTTCAAAATTTTTGACAACTAAAATTACAATCAAAACCCTTGTGTGAATCCAGTATAATATTGGTGTATAAAACCTTTTTTACCGAGAGGAGTGTTTTATTAAATAGCATATATCAAAATAATTTTTTTATATTTTATTTATTTATTTGCTTATCATTCCTTTTTTTTTGTCTATTTTTAACTGTAAATCTATTTAAATACATATATATATATATTAGCAATATAAATTTCGATTTTTATATGAATTAACACAAGTACACAATAATTTCGAATTAAGTTTGTGTAAAGTTTGGTCGTTATGCAACACTATTTTGCCACTGAACATAATTATATAAATTCTCTGTCTCTATCAGCTGATTTGCTAATATTCTAAGTACCACTTGTACCAGATTTTCAAAAGTAAATAGTTTGTTTTGTGAAAAAGTATTTGCTTATAGTTTTCTTAAAAGATATTTGGATATTTGGACACTCGCGGAGTTTTTTCTTTTTTACTATAATATCTGAACTTATCGATGTGGACGATAATTTAACTATAAACACATAAGAATTAAGGTAAAATATGAACTGTAAATTATGAATGACATAAGTGTTCAACATCTGGTGATATGAACTGAAAGAAAATAAAATCAGAACTAACCCACCAATTATAGGTTAATGACCCGCTGTGGTGCCACAAAAATAGTGTTGGTTCGTACATAGACTAGAAGAGCAATATATTGAACTTTTCCAAAATCGATGCGAGCAACCTAGCTACAATATGTGTGGTGAAATGATAAACAGAAAGGATACTACAAGTCAAGATAATATGTCCATGCGGAAAATAAAAACGATAACAATAATTAAAATAAAGTTTTATAATCAAAATTCTTAAGAATAGAATAGCTCTGTGCCAACATAAAAGAACTCGCACTTACATATATACATATATCCGCAGTGAATAAAACCTTTAATTAAAATTTTCAGAATTCCTATAAGAGCCTCTTCATTTCCAACTGAAGAAAAACAAGAAAAATTCCAAACAGATCGATCGCACATTAATCATGCAAATAGCTTGCTATTCATCCATTGCACAAATCCTGTAAGAAACTCTTCATTTCTAACTGGGAAAGGAACAAACAGAATTCTAAGCAAATCGATCGTACATTAATCATGCTTGCTATTCATCTTCGATTTTCTCGATTCGCGATCAACGACTAAGAACGAAATATATAAACACTTCTTATTTACATGCTGCAAAAAAATATCATATCACTTTTAGTATATTACTGATAGTACCAGGAATCAAAATGAAAGATTCTTGCGAGGACTCATCAAGTTTTGCTACCTCATTAACGTATTGGTTCCCTGCAACATTCGCATAACCCGGAATTTAATCTAGAGATACCTTGAAGTTTCTGCCGATAACGTTAATAATTCATCTGCAATGCACAAGGTGTAGCTTTAATAACTATGTAATTGTACTGAACATTCGTGTTTACAATCATGGACAGGATTAAAGGTTGGCAAGTACTTCCGCCTACATTGTTTAAAAGTTACTTGTGTTATTTGTCAGCATGCTTTTAAGTGAAATCTATAGGGTAACAGAAAAGAAGGAAGCCGTTTAAGCACCCAGTGCCATAGTGTATTGAGAAAAACGTTCAAAATACTGTCGAAACGATGTTAACGCGCTTTTACAAAACTATACGCGTTGAGAGCACAGAACTTGTGCTCTTCAATAAATTAAAGGATGTTAAAAAAATTTAAAATTTTTGGAGAACAGAAGTTCTATTTGGAATAGATTAAAATAGAAACATTAAAAGTGGAGTTAATTTTTCATAAATGATATAATAGTATATATTGTGAGAAACTTGGAACTTCATTGGTTATTTTGCTTAAATTTCTTTATTAGCAAATAAATTTTATAAGCATGCGTACGCCTCTGTGACATATCTACAATTTGAATTCGATATATTATTATTATAAGGTGACAATTTGTAATAAATGAGCTTAAATTATCAGATGAAAATATAAATAGTGAATCCAATAAATTCAAAAAACATAAATCAAAAAATTTATTTTCTGAACTACTACATATAATTTATTGGAATGCAAGTTAAATTTATTTGAATTCTGTTAAAAATCCATTTTGAGGTCAGAATAAAATACACAATTTATGCAATCGACGATATAAATTCTACACCCTTTGCCCCGCAAAAAACCTTGCTTCCAATCAAATTATAACGATGAGACAAAAAACAATAGAAAAGCGGATTTACGCTTTTAAATAAACGAGCTTAAAATGAACAGAAAAACGACAATGAAAAAAAGCCAAAAATGTGAAAAAGATCCTTAAAAGGATACAGTGCGAAACTGACAGAAAACTCATATATCAAATAATATTTAACACTTACGTACTGGTTGGTACTGGTACAGAACGAGAACGTTTTAGAAATGAGTTGAAGTTAAAGAGTACGTGGAAAAAAGATACAAAAGAAACTGTGGAAAACGATAAATTTCCATCAAGTTAGTTAACCATGGAAATTTAACACTCCCACTTGCACGTGCACATTCGCAGGGAACACAACAGAATCATCTTCATTATCATCATTCTGCCATCAAAGAGTACAGCAGAAATGATTTTCGCACGAAAGTCGATTATTTCGTTAGTTTTGTCAGTATGAGAAGAGCCAGACTAGATACGGCAAGGCATCGTGTGCACTGTAAGGATTTTTAGGTAGTGAAATGCAACGAAAAAAATCTGCCATTGAGAAATTTAAAACTGAAAAATTAAAAAAAAGAAATAAACTTAAATAAAAAATGTGGTAAATGTGAAATTTGTACAAAATTGTATATGAAATTACTAAAGCATGTTCACCGCCATCGAATGTCAGGCTGTCTATGCTCTGTCAGTTTGTTTACTTATATTCTGTTTCATTTTTAATTTTATTTTCAGTTTTATTTTCAATTATATTGTTTTTTATTTTATTTTTATTTTTTATAGATTTTTTTTATATTTACCTGCTTGCACCTGCACATTGCGACTCAATATTGTGCCGGCTTCATTGGTTGCACGGCATCGGTAGGTTGTCTCATGTACGTCTGTGCGATAATACTGCGCCAGGAACGGTGGGAAGTATAAGGTACCATTGCCAGCAATTTTTCTATACAAAATTAAAGAGCGATTATTTATGATTATACACTTTGGAAATAATTTGTATTTTGTTTTATGTTTTTAATTATAATAAATATCAAGACCACAAAAATGAGAATTTTAAATAAGAAACGATTTCGTTGGTCAGTTAGTAATTAAAAATTATTTTGAAAAGACAATGGGATTGTAATAGAGAAATTTTTAAATCCAATAAAATTTTATTTTTTTGAAAAAACAATAATTTATTATAATTAAGGTAATTTATACAGCTGTGGTTTATGCGTTAGTACTTGTAAATAACACAGCAAGTACAATAATACAACTTAAGTGTACATTGACTTTGACAGGGTTAAATTCCTGACACTTGCTGTCTAAAAATTATATACGGCCAATTAACTAATAGACATAGATACAGACACAGCCACTAATGATAGTGTTCTCCGAAACAGGTACCATGATAAGTTCAAGAAACTAATTAGTTAATAAGTAAATATATCTGCATGAGTTGAGAGGATTAATTGAAATTAAAATTAATATAAACTATTGGAAATATATTATATTTTATTCAAGAATTCCATAAATTAAAAAAATTGTACATATTTTATAGGTCAATAGCACAAAGTTTAGGAAATTGCTTCTGAACATATTGCATAGAATTTTTTTTTTATGATATGTAAAAATATTATCTATAAAAAAAAATTCAGTATTACATATAGATATGTAATAGAATAAAACGCGGGACACTCAATAGTAAGCACCGTTAAGGATTAATTTACAACTAATAATGAATAAGTAATTGGTTATAAATATATAATATCAGACAGTTTGGTGAATCGTATTTTTTTTCTGTTTGGCAGATCCAACATTGAAAATCTTCTTAGTCGACGTGAATGGTTAATGTCTGATAACAGTGAGTTCAGGTGATTTGATAACCTTATTCGGTTGTTTTTGCTGACTTTTTGTATTGTTTTAAACACTGATAGGACGTGGAGACATGAAATGTAAACATATTATCTCTAATCCGAATGTTACTATGTAAAGTGTAGGCATTGATAACCCGGCGTACTGTTTAGTGCCAACCGAAACACATACTGAAAAGTTTCATATTTTTGGCGACCATATCATACTTAACGCAACAATATACACTTATGATTCAACTATAGTCACAGGCTACTGCGACAATATTTACTATAATTGAACTGCAGATAGAACCGTAGTACTAGTAAACTTTGAGTTAATCATGTTTTCAGCATCATTCGGAATGGTTTGTTATTTAAGAGCGTAATGTGTTGTTACCAGTAATTTGAAAGTTATGTATGAAGAGAAAGAGCTGCTTTATTTTTGCTTTTTCCAAGTTCACACTTCCTTTGGAAGTTTAAATCAATATTATTTTTTCTTGGCTAGGTAAATTACTTAACATGAGCATACACGAAAAACGAAGCCATTATGGCTTAGTGGCAAGACTTGATATTAGCTTTTTATTTAAAACCAAAAATGACTGCAACCAAGAGATTCAACAGAGATTCACTTCTGCCCATAGATGTTATTTCAAGCTAAATAGTCACTTCAGAAATAACACTCTCGTTAAATGATTATCGCGTTCTATAACGTGTTTGATTCTGTAATATGTACGCATTATCGATGTAAAAACCAATGACACCAATCGACTATCGTGCAGTGAAGCGTACGCTACTAGCCACACTTCCGTAAAAAAAGTTGGAAAAAGTAAGTACAAACTATTAAAACTTGTATTTAAAATGTATTTCATCATCTTTTTTTCGTTTAATAATTTTAACAATTTAATTAAATTAAATTAAATTAATTAAATTATTTAATGTGAACAATTTAAATTATTTCGTTAAAACTCATCAAGCATGATTTAAAGAAAAAAGTATATCGGGCTAAGACTTGCATTTTTTTGAGAACATATTTAATAAATTTTACTACTTTTCGAAAGGGGAACACCTAAACGATTGTTGTATCTCTGTCCAGATCCATGCATAGGCTTTTAAGCGCGCCATTCTTTAATTTAGTCAGAAATACTTCCAACATTAATATTCGCCAGATAAACGAAACTTTACACCCACTATTACGAGATGTGGATAAATTATTAAAATCAAGTTTCGATCAGCGATTCGATATCGAATTTCAATTATAAACTTGGCTGTGTTAAGAATTAACACAGATTTTCACCTCGATTTGCAAATGATGAAACTTTTTCTGGAAGATTTTTCTGGAAGAACTGTCAACATCTTTGAAAATATCTTCCACCTACATTCGCCAGAATTGGCTTAAAAGTATGACGTGCATATAAAAGCACAATTCCTCCACCCCATTTACTTTTAATATTTATTTTGTATTTATTTCATATTATTTTCTCTTTTTGAGACCAAAATACATTTAATTTCAATAAGACTTCCTTTTATTAACCTATAAATCAGAAATGGTCTTGTTGCTTCTCTCAGAAATCAATTTTATGTAAACAAGAATATTTTGAGACTTTGCAAACTACATGAACTATGAACATAAACAAGAGTATCTAAACTATTGCTGGACATTCTATAAAATTCTCATAAATGTCACAAATAAATTTGCACAGTAAGAAAAATGTAGTACATATTCATTCACAACACTAAGCTTTGCACACTGGAAATGTGATCACGTATTCCAAATGACATCGAATTTGTTGCTGTAAAAATTACTGAAATGACTTTTGCGAAGAAAGCAATTTTTTATTTACTAAATTTGCTAGTGGAACTAACAGAGGACACAAGCATAAACTAAGTTTTTGTACCAAACTTGCCAGTACATCAAATAAATGATTTCAATTCTCGCAACAAACTTCCAAGAGTGCCAAGTTACTCACAGCAATAAATCCATAAGTTTGTTTGACAAAGAAGACACTTCTGCAACACATGTTCTCTTGCAGCGATGCACATTTATATCGTGTGCAAGCACCGCATTTGATGGACTCAAATATGTGAAAAAATAAAAATATTTTCTAAAATATATTATTTGCATGCTTCCTTAAATGTCACATTTAGGGACAAATATTTGCTTAGAAAGCAGTGCACAATGTGTTATGCCAAAAGGAATACAAAGGATGCAAGCAAATCAACAGCGAGAAAGAATGCATTTTCTTTGAAAAATATTCTCCGTAAAAAATAACATCCATAATGATAAAATCATTTTATATTGCCATTTCTTAGGTTAGAATTATTAATATTCAAGACAAAGAAGTTTTTATATATTTAACCGTACTATAGTGTCGGGACTTTACCTTACCTTCCGTCTATTTTAACCCTACGTATAGAGCTTAGCTGTAAGTTGACAAGGCACAGAGAAGCGCTCTAAATGTGCTACTTTACAGCACTGTTTTCTACGGTGAAGTTGTGTTATGTGAAGTTAGGTATGTGAAGTTATCGATAACAGCAACAATAATGACTAGCATCAAATAAACTACCATATAAGCAATTTAAAATTCCTGCAAATTTATTTTAATTTTTACCTAAACATTCTTACCAGAACAAAATGTATATAAAAATCAAACACAAATCAATTCATTTTCAATGTCAATTTATTGACGAAACATTACTCAATTTTTTTTTGATTCGAACATTAACTTTCTGCGTAATTGTTAACACCTGTTTTTTAAATCTTATAGCCAACGAAATGAAGCTTTCCAATGCATTCACCTACAAAGAACCAGGTGCCAATCTCAACTGCGACAAGGGTGTTTAGCCAGATATCACGAATAGTTAGATGTCTGAATCTAAAAAAGACTGCCGACTTTCCCAAGTTCAATAGAGCCTTACCAATTTCAGGAATTTCAGCAGGCTTAGGTGGAATCAGCTCAACCTCAGCATATTTCTTAAAAGTTTCAAATCTCGGCTTGCCTTCAGTTGCCCACATTTTGGTCAACACGACCTTGTAGTGGTCCACATACTTTGCATAGTTCTTCAAATAGTTAGCCATTTCCGCTTAAATTAGAAGTGACAATTATTCCAGCGACAACAGAAAATACTACTTTAACAAAATATACGTCCTCACTATCGTATGGTTGAACTTAAACTGGAAGATATATATTTTTTCTTACACAAGTCAGACTAATTTTTTTGGCGGCTCACACACGGCAAACTTGATTGATTTAAATGTTTTTTTTGTTCGATGTACGATTGCACCAAGCTTTGCGTTTACATATAAAATTTAATCGTTGACCACATAATGTATTCATTAATCATACTTGAATTTCAAAGGTATATATGTACTTTCAAAAGTCATGGAAAAGAGAGCACACATGAAAATAGTGTTATATGCAAAATTTCATATGAATAATATAATGTTAAATCTATGAAATGTGTAATATTTTAAAATATATTAAGTCCTTCTAAATATGTTTAACCTGAGCGTAATATGAAATGCTACGAGTTGCTTTCACACTATATCATCCATATATATTAATGGAGAATATAGTGTATAAACATGGCATAACGCATGAACTTAATAAAGTCTATAAGCCAACAAACGGGATACATAAGCCAGTTGTATTATAAAGCACCCATGTAAAATATCTAACAACATCCAAATATATATCTTAATCTATATGTTTATATAGATATAGTTTAATAATTAAATTTGTATATTGATCAACATATTATACTTAAATAAACAAGTTATAAATAATTGGTACTGTCTGGGTGAAAGTTATAATTAAAATTTGAATTTGTCGCATGGTTTAAAGAAATGTATACAAAATGTATAACCCTTAGAATATGCCTTACATACAATTCATTTCAATTTTTTTACAAAAGACAATAAAAGAATACGGAAAATGGGTATTTAGTAATACTTGAAACAACTATATGGTCAGCTAAAAATTCAACTAAAATTTTTGACCATTAAAATATGGTCAAACTGGAAAAAACTTATTTATTAATATAATAGTTTCTATTATTAAAATAGTTTGTGTATTCATAACTGACTTTATCATATTTAATATAAAAACTTAAAATATATTTTTTATATAAATATTGTTTTTAAACAATATTTAAAGGTGGAAATTAAGATGGTACAGAGGATTATTACAAAGTAGAGGTGGGAATCAGTTGAAACTCACCTATATAAGGTGAAAATGTCTTATTACCTCAATTAAACAAACTTACAATGTAAGCCGACGTTATTGTAACTGAAATATGTAGTGTCAAATGAAAACAGATAGATACCATCATAAGTAGTAGAACAATATTTGAAGTACGTATCAAAGACGTATTGATACATAAAAAATATTTAACATGTAGGTACATACAGATTACAATTCTGTCAACACAGTTCTCAATGCTTTTCATTTTTCATATCTGAATATTATTGGCTGCTGTTAACATTAATGGTCATACAATATTAAATATTGTATGCTAATGATGTTATGTTATTAAAATATACATATTAATAAACGTATGACATAACATAAACATAAAAACCTAGTTATAATCCCTTTTTAAAAAAAATTGGAAACTCACAGAATGCATCTCAAATAGTATGTTGTGATATATTGCAGATAATTGTAGGAAGAAATTTTATAAAATACAATGTATTAAACAAAATTTAAAAAACATCCCGGAAGCCTGTGACCTAAAGATACCACAGAAAAATAACCTCTTAATGGATTAAAACTATTAAACAATAGGGTATCCACCATTTTTATTGCTTTATATTTTCTTTACAATTAAGAGCTGTATATACTTTGACCAGAAATCGATTTCGAATGAAAGTGGGAATAATAGTGGGAACATTTTTAAAGACATTACTGGCACTTATAGCTCAAAATTTATGAACAAACAATGGATGCATTCAAACACAACTGATTATGGATATATGGCAGTATCCAAAACAGCTGTTTGATTAGCCCAATAATTCACTTGATTAAAATCAGATGTAATATATTTACACAATAATCACAAAGACAACTACAACAGCTACTATTTAAACAACATTAAAAAACTAAAAGTTTAAAATAATGACATATTATTTTGTCAATAAGTACATTTATTTTACACTATCCGCGTGTGTCCTGCTTCAAAAATTAGTGTTTTGAATAACAGCTGTGCATAATAAATGAGTCTATCTCTCTTTAACACATATGTATGAACTCTTGGAATACAATCTAATGATTTCATTTTTTTAAAATAATCATATCAGAGTTGCAATTTAATAAAAACCTTTTTTAATTTACTCTAAAGATATTACTCATATAGTGAGCAGTGTGGGTAACGTATTTACATTAAAGTAACTTTTATGTTCATTACGAATTTCTTTACATTTTATTTCTTTTTTAATATCAACAATATATACTGATATATTTCTTCTCTTAATTTTCATTTTTGTACATAAATTATCTTAGATAAAAAAAGCGTTTTCCATTTTAAGACAATAAGCTACATTTAACCTCTGCTTGTTTGCAGTAGTACATTACACATTTGACTCCACTTTTAATCCTTTAGTCAGTGTACCAGGCAACCAAGCGTTCATTCGCCCTGTTGTTTTAACTTTGTATCTTTTATGAGGGCATGGATAACAGAAACTCAGCTTTTATTGTTCTTTGTCACTTTTGTATGTTTGCTGTCAAATGAATGTTGTATCCTTATTGTAACTAAACACAACAGGAGCTTAAAGAGGAAGAAATCTTTTGAAATTTTTATTTTCTGTGGCACCATCAAAACCGCAACATTGATTTTGACAGGTTTTTTCTTCAGTCATTGTGCTGGAGTTTGCCACATTTTACACATCCGCAAGACGCGCTGCCACAATTTCTCCAACTTCACCGCACTTTTCCAGGTTTTAAAACTTTTGTTTGAGTCACGTTCACATTTTCATAAAGAGTTTATGTTTCTAATGCGTTTTTATTTGCATCAACGCTGAATTGAAAGAAAACGTGCTGAATTTACTTAAAAATGTTTGAAATCCAATCTTCTGTGAACTCAATTCTCTGAGAGTTTAATGGATTTGCTAATATGTAAGATATGACAAATGATATCATGCGAAAGAAAGACTTTTAAATCACTTTAAAATAAGTTTTTAATAAATCAGAAAAACGTTGAATATAATTTTTGAACCAATCTCCTATATGACTTATAGGCTTTGTGCTATATTTACTATTACAAAAAAAAACACTTAAATTGACCCTTTATAAATACAAATATAGCTGGAGAGATGAGTACTCACACTGTCACGGAGAACATAATTTGTAGTACCATACCATAAGGACTACTGAGAGCAGCATATGTTACCATCGTTGCAGTTCAGCAACAAATATAAGAGGAAGTTTTATGAACTTGACGAGGACCACCAATTGATATTTTTAAAAAAAAATGGATCTATCAAGTGTGTGATGTTTAAAATAATACTGAAATCAAGTTCTACCAGTTCACCTAAAATTATTAAGAGTGACAATAAAAAAAAACTAGTTCTAAACCAATTTCATTCATTTGTGAACTTAATCTGTGCTAACTTAAAAAAGTCTTCATGCAAGGGTTCATGAGATTATATATAGCCAAAGGAATTTTTAATTAAGAATATAAGATGTAATTTATTAGTTGTTCGAAAAAAATATTAAATTTTTCCTCGACAAAGGCCCTAACTGTACTTTTTCACAGCCAACTTATCACTTAAGCCGCATAATCATTATTTATTACAACAGCCGATATTGGCAGGACAGTCTGCGAACAAATTTGACTAGTTCTGTGCAATTTTTTATTGGAACTTTTTTAAATAGAAAAAACTAAAAAAGCTGTGGCATAGAGTATGGAGAATTGACAAAACTCAGGTTCCAAACTAAGTTGCAAAATTTCAATCCGGTAATTTTAATGTTGAAAATATATGACGTTATTAAAAGTCAGATAAAAACGCAGTAATGTTGCATCAAAAAAATGCAAGACCTCATGACATAGTAATTGCCAAAAGCTTTTACAGCTTAGATGGGACATATGAATGAGAAAATGAGAAAAGGTAATGGTCAAGAATGGACAACATATATTTCAATAAAATATTTGTTAACTAAAAATATATCAAAAATTTTCAGTTTTATTCTTCTTTTTTTCTTCTTTGCTTGATGAAACACGTTTTAATGTCTGAAACATTTTTACTATATAATGTCTGTGACCACTTGGATGATCTATTGTAATAAGAGCTCTATTGAATTCTGATTGTAATTTATGCAGTTGATTTTATGGTTATACTTTAAAGTCCCGCTTATCTTCCTGACAGAATATATATTGTATTTGATCTGAGAGAGTGAAATTCAGAGTTATTGTGCACAGACAATATACTATTGCGTGCTCTCGACTCTTAAGTCTTTGTGTATGTCTTCATTTCTGATGCACTATGAAACATTTGGCATACGTTTCAGTACAATATTCTGATAAGTTTTCAGTTTTATTAAAAAAAAATAAACTAAATTACTTGCGGAATAACTTTTTATAAACTCTGACACCGTCTTTACTGCGCTACGAATACTTAAACAAATCAAATATATTGACAATACCGTTGGAGGTTATCAAAAATAGTATACCAAAATGTTCAAGGATTATGTTGTTCCAGCAATGCAAATATACCTGAATTCAAATATTTTGATACACCTGTTAACTTGAATATATCTGTTAACGTTTCTGTTTATTTTCGTTTTATGTTAAAAAAATGCGTTCAAGTCATAACTTTGTTTATGTTAACACATGCTCGAGCTGCGTATGATGATTGAACATAAGCGAATGGGTCGCTGAAGTCGAGCCAAATGTTCGAGCGTAAGCATACTCGCACATCAAAGGCTCATTGCTTCGGTTAGCTCAAATAGTATTTAAAATAATATTTGAAATATTAAAATTAGTTTACTCTTAGCACCGTTTGCTCCAAATAACGTTTTTTCAAATATAATTTTGTTTTGCGACTACATATAACTTTTGCTGACAGCATTTGCTTGAGCTAACAAGTGGTTGACCGACATCAATTAAAGAAACTTGTGTCATTACAGCTAATATGAATTTATACAAAACAATCACAAAGTGAATAAGGCCATCCAAGCATTCAAATCTCATAATTGTAGCCGCTCGCCAGTACATCTACACGATCGCAACCGCAAATATGTTTGCGGTAATAAACCAGAGGAGAAAATGTAATTTTCAATTAATAACTGAAAATTACACAACAAAAGTTGTTTAACAATAAAATTATGCAAAGTGCACTTGTAGCTTGTTGAGCACATTTACTGCCGTTGCCGTTGCCGGTCTATGATTGTGTGGTTCATATGTGCGGCTTGCTAGGAAACCACAGAAGTCACCGCAACACTGGAGCACACTCCAAAGTAAGTAGATGCAACAGTGGAGGCACCAACTTAAAACTAAAGCCATGAATGCCACAAACATTAAAAAAGACTAAAAACGATAGAAAAAACTAACAAAACTGAAAATGACATGTTGCTGCAACAGAACGGTTCAACAGGATACTACTTTCGAAGCATATCGCTTAGGTTTCTGTGAGTGTACGTACGCTGGTGTAGTTGCAACAACCGCAACTTTACTTTGAAACACTAATTAAAAAACTAAACCAAACCGCACGATTATGGCACAAAATCAGTTGAAATCATATCATTATAATAAGCAGCTATCGCAATAGAGCAAGGAAGCGAGCAGCAGCAATAGTAAAATACACGCAGTTAGGCAGTCTTAATCCTGCTTGGCTGCAATGAAGCCGCAATAATGTGACCCTCAACCAAACTAATCCGGATATGAGAAAAATTAACGTTTTTAAAACTTCAACTTACCTGAGCCCTGGTACTTGAGTTGCCATTGTGCCATCCTTAAGCACCCATGACACAACCGGCTGAGGATTGCCGTGTGCTGTGCATGTAACCTGTGTACCAGTATCGTTGCTAAAGAGCAGTCGAGGCGTGGGTTCCTGTATAAAGGTGGGTACACGTAAACCGCTTGTGGCTTTCGCAGCTGGCGGTGGCAGGACAATAGTTAACAGCACTGTAATCTGTAATAGTGGTGGGGCAAAAAGGGCAGCTGCAAGTACACCAAAATATAAACAAAAATGAATAAATATTAAATAAAATAAATATAAATTATTTTTGGTTAAGCAATTTCTTAAAGCGCTTGTATACACGACAATTTCAAGTGCTTTGTAAGCAAAAAAAATATACACTGTATGTACTCGCATTTTAAAAAAATTTGCTTTTTATTTGCTTGTAATTTAAAACTTTGTTTTGCAGTTAATAATGCTCAAGAGGACCACTTCATAAATGCGGTTAATTTGAGCTTCGTTTGCCTTAAGCATTTGCCAGCTTAAGTGCCATATTCATATGTAAACCAACAAAAAAGTAGTAATACTGCAGTATTATTTGCTACTACTTTTTACTTAATTCAAACACTGAAACTGCCAGCAACTGCGAGTAGCAACAAAACTATATCTTGCAGCAACTACATACCGCCGCACATATGCACTGCGTATCCTGCATTATCCTGAAAATTAGTGCTTCTTAAGCATACGCCAATGTGGCAGTGCGGCTTGCGCGGATCTGTTATGCTGTTCGCGTTTAATTCCGAAATTTAGTCTAAATTCCTATTACAAAACAACAATTAAATTCCATCCATTATTTCTCTGTGAAAATAAGTTTTGCGTGTGCACGGATTGTGGTATTTCGAGGATCTTAAATGCGCTTAAATATTTCTTACCTTTTGCCTTGAATACTGACACTGGAGCACTCATTGCTTTGCATGTGTTCTTGTGTGGCTGTTTAATTCAAGGAATTTCACTAGTTACTATGGTGGCTTTAATCCGGATTGTATAAGTATATATGGGATGGCTTTAGAAATTTTCAGTTCTCGTTATTCCTGAGCAGTCTAAAAAGAAGCAATAGAAATGATTATAACTACTGGCTTTGACTGCATAATATTAATATATTATATAAATAATCTTAGAAAAACTTGTAATAATTTTCCAATTAAATGATTACTTAATGCATATATTATACCCAAATGAACATATGCCATTATTATTCGTAATTTTAAGTACAAATAAATAATAAAAAATTGAAAATTGAACCTAGAATGATCTGTGAATGATCCGTGTATGATCCGTGTATGATCCGTTAGACAAGGTGGAGGAAAAATTTCCTCTTCTAATCATTGATCAAATACAAGAACTCTATGGTATAAGCCTTAAACCACAGTCTACTGAAGTTAACTTTGAGTGCAAATATGTTAAATAATGAGAAATTAAAAATCAAACTTAGAATGGTCTGTAAATTGACAACAAACACGTTGGAGCAAAAATTTCCTTAACAATCATTGATCGGAAAGAAAAAACTCTTACGCGTCTATTGTATATGCCTTAAAACAGTGTCGCAATTGTAACAGAATTGCATGGGTACCATAATCACAACCAATCAGATATCCTCAAATGTGTCTTACTGATAAGATATTGGAAGGCAATATCTATTACATTTCTCACCACCGGCTACTGAATCAAAAACCAATACGATGTCAACATCGCAATATAGTTCATACAGCTCAGTTTTGAAAGAGACCATAGATCTTCCAAAGAGCTTTTTCGTCGTATGGCCCTAATGTCTTCACAGCACCGTTAGTTATAATTAAGTTTATGTACTATATTACAGGCCAGATATGATAAGAGTCCCAAGTAACATCTGTTGGCTTTCAATGATACTCCGTTGAATCTCTTGGCTGACATCATTTTTGGTGCTAACGCTGGTTCCCTACTGAACCCAGTCTTTTACAAATTCGAATTTATAGTTGTCAACAGTGACGTGGATCCCAAGACGGTCAAAAAATTTGTTTGTTGACTGAAAATAAAGTACGAGTATTGTATCTGTACGGCTCGGATAGCCGTTTAAGATTATTAGAAATATTAGATTTAAGAAATCAAGAAGTTATCCTATCTGAAACCACGTTTAGTATCAAATAGCTCAATACTTCACAATTTTAACGGAACTAGAGCTACTTAATGTCATTTAACAAAGCCAAATAAATTTTGTTAGGACACCAAAATCAAACATAGCGATATAAAGAATGCTTCTAGTGGTAGTATCTGAAGTGGCTTTAAAATCGACAAATTAACTGCATGTAGCAATTTATTTTTCTTAGATCAGTGCTCTCCAGAACTTTACCCTCTGTGGATATATAGTTACTGATAAGATCTAATCAGTTGGTTGATGATTTCAAACGTTTGGTAGAAACTTATGTGGGATTTTTAAAGGACTGATTCAGTGATAATTGGTGCAACTTTTAAAATATCTGTTTCACAAAGGATAGTTAAAAACTACCAAAATTTGTAAAAACAACTATTTCCAAAAATTCCAATTAACTTATTTGTAAGTAAACAACTTACATGAATAAAATTTATTAAAGGATTAAATTTTAATTGGTTGCAGAATAATAAATGTAAATATTTAACCTTTACAATATAGCGAGAAAAATAAACTTTTGTTGGAGTAAATACGCAGCTCATTACAACAAAATAATAATTTTTAGATAAAAATATAAATAGGAATAATAAATAAAATGGGTGTGACTTAGTATACATCAAATATCACTGCCTTAACAAACAATTTAACACTCTTACGGAATGGAGCACGGAGCTTGGAAACATGGAAGGATGCTAAAATTGCTTTGATGTCGCGTCAAATGAAGCCAACAAAATACAGTCGACAATTCTAGTAACTACACTGTGAAAAAAATCTGAAAATAAATTGTAGCAACTCATTAAAAATAGAACAACATCATACATATTCGTACATCCATTTATTTATGTACACAACGCTACAAATACAAGTACGTATCACAGCTGGGAATGTTCTCTTACATATAAATCTGTCAGTACGTATTTATATAATAATTGCGATTTTGCAAGTATCTGAAAAAATAGCTAAAGGCAACGTTTTCAACAAAAGCACAAAATAAACAAATCGTTTTAAATCCTCAATTAAATGT